AACTCTATACGAATTTTCAACTATATATACAAATTTTCAACTCCATACGAATTTTCAACTATATATACGAATTTTCAACTATATACGAATTTTCAACTCTATACGAATTTTCAACTATATATACAAATTTTCAACTCCATACGAATTTTCAACTATATATACGAATTTTCAACTATATACGAATTTTCAACTCTATACGAATTTTCAACTATATATACAAATTTTCAACTCCATACGAATTTTCAACTATATATACGAATTTTCAACTATATACGAATTTTCAACTCTATACGAATTTTCAACTATATATACAAATTTTCAACTCCATACGAATTTTCAACTATATATACGAATTTTCAACTATATACGAATTTTCAACTCTATACGAATTTTCAACTATATATACAAATTTTCAACTCCATACGAATTTTCAACTATATATACGAATTTTCAACTATATACGAATTTTCAACTCTATACGAATTTTCAACTATATATACAAATTTTCAACTCCATACGAATTTTCAACTATATATACGAATTTTCAACTATATACGAATTTTCAACTCTATACGAATTTTCAACTATATATACAAATTTTCAACTCCATACGAATTTTCAACTATATATACGAATTTTCAACTATATACGAATTTTCAACTATATATACAAATTTTCAACTCTATACGAATTTTCAACTCTATACGAATTTTCAACTCTATACGAATTTTCAACTATATACGGATTTTCAACTCTATACGAATTTTCAACTCTATACGAATTTTCAACTCTATACGAATTTTCAACTATATACGAATTTTCAACTATATATACGAATTTTCAAGCACACAACGTCTGTGCAGGGTATCCACCCATCGGGGGCTTCGGTTGCGCCTTTCACCTCTGAGATCGTGGGTTCGATTCTAGCTACGGACTCAGGTGTGGGCTCATGCATGTGAAAAGAGTTTGTCAACGCTCTGCCGAAAGTCGTGGGTTTTCTCCGGGCGCTCTGGTTTCCTCCCACAGGGAAAGTTGTCAGGGTGGGTTAGGATAAACATACTGTAGTTAGGAAACTAATATCACAATTGTTGTAAAAATAAATAGTCTAAGCTTAGTATACGCGTAAAAATCATCATGTTGATGCAAGTTGTTCAAAACAGGAGCGAACAATGTTGTGCTGCACCCCGTGAACAATATTGTTAACAAGTTGTTGAACCATCAATATTGTTGCAACTTGTTGACAATCATGTTAACAACTTGCAACAGTACTGATGGTTGAACAACTTGTTAACAATATTGTTCACGGGGTGTAGCACAACATTGTTCGCTCCTGTTTTGAACAACGCCGAACAACATGATCAATTTTTACCCGTGTAGGTAATATAGGTAAGCGTAATACTTGATGTAATCGGTCACTGAAAAGGCCCAATGGAGATTGAGCTGAATAATCATAATCATCATAATCAATACCAACCTCGTTCCCAGGCTCTTCCCTCAACAAGAGGGAAGAGCCTGGGAACGAGGTTGAATCAATACCCTCTTCCCTCGACCTACCGAAGCAGGCTAAAGCAGAGAGCTAACCGCGCGTGTGTCTTCCGTGCTTCGCGAATATATAAATCGTCGTCATTATAAGCATTCATTCGCGCCTTCTTTCATAGTGTAAGAAGAAACATGTCCTTGAATGTGAAGAGTTTAGTAGAACAGGAGAATGTCGAAACAGGAGCACGTGTAAGTTAATTCATCGGAAGAAGGTACAGCAACAACGTAAAAGATACTTCGATGAAGGATCTTCGCTAGATGAAGAAGATAACGCTGGTGTTGTGAAGAAATCTCGAAGAAAAAGCAGCGATGGCTTCCTGCCTCTGGAAGGTTGGTGGATCTGCTAGCTCATATAATTTTATCTGCATTTGACAACTCTGTCGGTTCTAAACTGTTCTCCCTTGAGCCGCAAGGCCGGATTTTGCTGGAAATAGTGGGGGAGATGGACAAAAATTTAGGGGAGGTGCAGCAGTCTAGCTCACGACCACCATGGAAAGCTAGGGCTTAGAATGGGCACATATATGTATCAGTGTGTTAATGAATTATGACTGTACAACTCATCCAATTTTGCCCTCCATTACAATTACTACCAAGTATTTTTCAAAACATTGCATCAAAACATTACCCTCCGAAAACTTTTCCTGACATATACGAACCCTGTTCTTACAAACAACACCCTGACTAATTATAGTGCATGTGCCCCCTCTACTTCTACGACCGGATGCTCAATTCCTGCGATATGAAGATGACCCTTACTGCATGACCCTCCAGGGAGAACAGTTCACAACAGATGGAGTTATCCGGCGTAAATATAGTCTTTATGAGTTGATCATGTACCAAATTTTTCCACAGTACTTCTAACTGGTTTGTTTATAACCATTTTAACTATTTGATAGTATCTGATTTCCATTGCATGTTTTTTTTTTCATTCTTAGGCTCGATTGTCTCTGATGATGAACATTTGACACAATCTCATCACGCAGACGAAGAAACGGAATCAAGTAAGGAGCACGATATTCTTGGTGCTTGCGTTGGCGTCGCCATGGTTTATTGACAAAGAATTTTGCTTTGTTTGCAATATTCCAAAACTTGGCAACACTCTCTTTGTCATTTAAGATCGTTGATATTGGCTGCAACCATTGACTGTATCGCCTGCAGATATAGTCAGCCAACGCGTATTATTCTTCGCCACCAAATTTCTTCAAATAAATAATTTAAATGCTTGGTTATACTTTGTTCCATTCTATGATAACATTATCATAACAGTGCATGGTAATAACTACTATAGCCATGCGAGTTATCACCAAATCTAAATTGTATAAAATACAAAACAACGGTAACTCCGAAAAAGAAAATTGTTAATATAGCTTTCGACTATGATTACGTTTTAAATAGTACGTAATATGACTAAAACATGGTCGAAAGCTAGAACTATATTAAAAATGTTCCTTTTCGAAGGTACCGTTGTTTTGTTTTTGTAAAAATACTCAGTGACAGTGGTTTCCGTAATTTCTAAATTACATGCCAACGGGATTTAAGATTTGTTGGGGGTATATTTGAATATTGAAATTGGCTTAATGCCCGATTGAAGCTCTCTCAATTGTAGAGACCTATGACTATGTTATATTTGACTATTTCCTTGTTTTTTTTCCAGATATTTCTATACGAATTCGACCAAATTTCACTACCAGAGAAAACACAGACGAAGAACAATAAAATGGTTGCAGTAATTTGTTTCATATAGACCAGAATTATTTGAGCATATCATTGACACGTATAGTCTAGACTAATTCTTTTTGGAAACAGATGATATCTTACTACAACTATAAAATGAATACAATTCAAGAAATAAAGTAGAAAGCCTATGCGTGTATAAATGGTATGCTCCTGTAAATTCTGCGAATGGTCCGAGGTAATTTTCAGAAAGTTGCTTCTCATCTGCCCTCCTGCACACAGCCCTCCTTATATTTTAATACAGTACGATTGGAACTGATGGCATATATGGGCTCACCTCCCTATTTCCCCCTAAATTCCCGTTCTTCGTAACAAAAATGGGAAAGACGTAGGTGCCCAAATTAAGACCTAGGTGTCCAAATGTCAGTTAAATTTACCTTTCTTGTTTTTTGTATAGATATCCGGACGTTAAAATTAACGCACATTATCCCTGACGTACGAGGCAAATTTTGCCACACCGCCCACACCCTCGTAGAGTTTATATTATATGAAGAGAACGTATTGTATTTAATTTAAAAAAATATGAAATAAATGTTATTCTAAAAAATTGTGTATGCTATACGGATAGTGATAGTGAATTTTCAGTGTGCCAATAAATCAGATAACAGACTTAGCAATAAATAATCCTAATGATTTTATTAATAAAATGATTATTTGCTCTTAGCCTGCGATCTGATTTACTGACACACTGAAATGGAATTATGGAGCAGTCTGACTGAGCTCTGTTATAAAGATAGTAAAATTGTGTATTCCAAATCAAACCGTCGAATACTGCATAATCAATATTAAGCGTTTTCAGACCTGCCCACCAGTCTCCCGACATAGCCTGGAGTCTCCCGGTATAGACCTGTGATCTCCCGGTAGTGAAAAATTTCTCCCGGCATTGGCAATTATCGTGATTTCTTGTCGATCTTATTGAATTTTATCGAGAAATCAGATCTATGCGCGGCTGTGCATAGTAGACAAGTGAAAGTCCAAGATAGTGCCCAATTTAACATTATAGTCAAGGGGTTTCTTTCTTGTGCTGCGAGTGTAACTAGGAGTTTGAACGAGACACTAATCGGACTGCTCCAACGAAAAGGGCTCTGATGGGTTTTCTCCCTCCCGCCAAATGAAGTGTTTAAATAAAAATTCTCCCTGACCCTGTGTATCAGTCGCTGTAAGGTTGGGCAGGTCTGCGTTTTATAATGGTACTCAACTCCAAATGCATCGGTATGACTGATAATTTATGACTAATAAGGTTTCCGTTTTTATAACGTAGAAAAAACTATCCTAACGCAAAACTAAATCCTATCCCTAATACTCACCCTAACCACTAACCTAACCCTAACCTAGACCCTAACCTAGACCCTAATCTAACCCTAACTTATTTTAATTATTTTAAAAATTGATATAAAAACGGAAACCTTATTTTGAAGTACAAAACGGCAAACTTCGCAGGGCTATATTTATACCCGCATTTTACAACTTTTCGCAACGAAACTTCGGAATATTACTAATATTGTGATGCTCTTTCAAGCCGTGATACAGTAAAAGTTTTGTCTAGACTTGTCTAGATCAGTAATTTTGTTCATTAGGGAATAGGTCCATTAATAAGTCGTGTACGATTCCACCGAAGTGAGACCAGTGGGGACAAAACTGGAGGGAGGCCACACAGGTTACAGCCCCCCCCCCCAAAAAAAAAAAAATTCGGGAAAGATTAAAGAAAAGCGATTGTTGGACCGAAGTTACCCCCCGCCTAGAGGAAAACCAATTTATGCATTGTCCCACAGGTCAATGCAAGTCGTTGGTGAGCCAATACTGTATTTCATAAAAACATCATTTGCATTGTCCCTTTGGACATCGCATTATAGCGTTCCGCGTTTGACGGAACGGTTTCTATTATTAATACTACCTATTAATACTACTCAGCTATTTTTATTCATTTCTACACCCCCGAGATCATCAGAGGTCTTTGTATTCGAGTGATGATAAAACAAAACCATAAAAACAGAACCATACTGTAAATGTTAAACATGCAGCCTGGCCGGCACCGGCAGATCATTTGAACGTGACAGGACGGCATTATTCTTATGTTATGTCATGCAAAGGGCGTTAAACTTCCTTTCTGAACTGGCATGGTCATAAATATAACTGTTTTGTGGAAAACGTCGCGTTTATCCGCAATATTTCGCTATTTACGGCGTTTATTGCAGTATAGGGTTCATTGCCCTGGGTCTCAAACTCGTATTTAGAAACAAAAACATGAAACCAGAAACTTCCTTTTACGTTTAAACTCAGACTAAATAAAAATGCAAAATAAAGACGACTTTGATGAGTCCAATACCACGGAGGAAAGACGAAATGGTCAAAGAGAACACGGAGATATCGAAAATCGTTATCAGTTTGAGGAAAACAACGATAAACCTTGCGATCAAATTGCAGTGAACCGGAGCAAAGACGACACTCCATGCAAGACGAACCAACATGACACAGTACTGAAACGTTTTAAAAAGAAAATATTGCGAAAAAGCAGGAGAAATACAAGTGAAGAAGCTAGTAAAATGGCTTCTAGACAAGATAATTCGAACGGTAGGCCTGAAAGCTTCGAGGAAGACGACTATTTCGAAGGACATATATACGAAGTTCCTTTTGCTAATTCTAGTGCTCAAAACGTCAGCGGGGAAGCTACAAATATGGCAAACAATCGGTTTGAGAACGGTGAACATAGTAAAAATCATGGCCGTATGTCGTTGAGAAACAGCTGGCATAGTGAAGCGAATGGAAGAGGGGATATTGGGTCACAAAATGGTTCCGTTAAGTTTTGTGGGGGCGGTAATGATAGAAATCTAGAAAATACTAATGGTTCAGTAAATAGCAGGAAAGAGCGTTTCCAACATGGCAAATCTATGTCCCTCCCTGCACCTTCACGGGGGTACGTCCCCTTACCTGGCCTAGCTGGGTGTAACCCTAGGTTACCAAGCGATACGTCTAGCGAGGATTCCAGCAACGAGGAGTGGGTACAACCGCCATCGGGGGCAAAACCTGATGTGAGAAGTTTGCGATCACAGTCGTTGCCATCACCATCAAAGTTAAACCTCAATTATCAATTTCTAAACGGACTTAACGACTTATGTAAGTGCGGTTGGTACTGGGGTCCGTTAAGCAGTAAGGAGGCAGAAGTGAAGCTTCATGGGAAACCCGATGGTGCATTCCTCGTTAGGGACAGTAACGATAATCGTTACCTCCTCAGCCTAAGTTTCCGTTCGGCACAAAAAACATTGCATACTAGAATTGAATTTTGCAAAGGGAAGTTTAGTTTTTACTCTGCACCATTCATCAGCGCTGGAAGTTTTTCATCTGTCGTGGAACTGATAGACAACTGTGTGGAAACATCGAAAGAGCGTGTTTACTGTTATACCAAAGGACGTGCTCTCAATGGTGCAACATTCCCAGTACGGCTTACGAAACCAATTTCTCGGTTCGAGTACGTTTGTACATTGCAGCATCTTTGTCGTTTCATTATCCGTCAGCATTTTACATTGGAGAACATTAGTGATATGCCTTTGCCCGGCATAATGAAAAGATTCCTTGGGAAAAACCATTTTGATGCGAAACCGAGTGAATAAATTGTGTTTCACACATCGTATTCAAATTATAGGATTAATTTAAACTTGGCTTGTGATAGGTGTAGTTTATTCTATATGGTAAATGTAAATAGTAACATAGCCAATGTCTGAAGGCTATTAACAGTGATCAGTACTTAGTACATTTTGAACTAATTGGCTATCTGGCTGGCTGGGTAAGCTTAGTACTAACACTATATTATTGACAATGTTTGACAAATGAGTTTGCTCATCATGAACTAAAATAGATATTAAAGATATCCAAAAAAATTAATAATACTTTAATAATAGATGCCCTCTAGAAAGCAATAAGAAATAAATAATTTTGCTTTCAATTGTTTTTTTATGCCAGTGTCTGAATCTTTGTCATTGGTGTTGTTATTTTCGTTACGATCATTTGTAATAGACCTTTGAAAAACTTTAAATTTACAGGTGCCCTTTTCCCATTTATTTACACATTCACTCCCTGCAGACACCTTGAATTGCCTATTTCTTCCAACTCTCCAATTGTCATTTTCTTACCGGATTACTTTTTCAACAATTTTCTTCAAATCTGAAGCAAGGTAATGTAACCTTACAGACTTAACGATTCCATTTATTGAATCCAGTAATATTTCGAACCTATATGCAAAAGAGTGATGACGTGTATGATGTAACACACCTTTGTTATAATACGGTTATTCACATGATTTTAACCCATTGAGCACCAGCGCTCTCCTCTTGAGTAAAATCATCTGGCATTAGATTGAGTAAAATTGTCTGGTGTTAGACAGAATAAAATCATAAAGTAGGCATAATGGAACTGAATGGGTTAACTAGACATATGGGCAGATAATAGTTTAGTTTAAGGGTTGTTGGTTTCCAACAAACGTACCCTTCAACTATTCAATCGAGTGAAATGCCAACAAAATATTGATATGGGCAGATAGTCTGATTAACCAATTGAGTGCTGGTCCCTTGACAATTAAAACCAAATCCATCAATATGGCATTAGGCAGAGTAAAGTAATAAAGTAGGGCGCATAGGGATGTTCGGAAGCAATCAGCAATGCAACTTAATTTAATGGGTTTACCTGGAAGTGACAATGTGCTCTACTTTATTATTTTACACTGCTAGACAATTTTTCTTGTCAAAGGGAGAGTGCTAGGTAAGTGCTTAATGTGTTAAACCTTGCAGTTTTGCCTACCAGAGTTAATGTCGAGCATGCCAGATTTGCTATATCTTCACCAGCTTTATCACACTAAAATGTTGTGGAATTTCATTTAGAAACTTGAAAATAGAATAAAAGTTGAGTCATTTGGCAAATCTTACACATTGTTTCATGCTACTTGTGTTTCTGATATCCTGAAATCTTCGATCCAAAAACATCCATGTGTCCTCAAACTCTTGTGATTTGTCTTGTACCATGTATAACTCTGTAATACAGCAAAACCTGTGAATCTCTTGCAGCTACAAGCTTTTAGTATTACTAAACTTTACAATGCATATCAAAACGCACCTGTCACACCATATATAGCAGCCAAAGAAGTTCGTTTTGTATACCAGCTTATCTGCAGGTTATAGAAATAATATGAGAATAAACTTCTCACACTGGGTTGCCAAGATGCTAGCCACCACGGCAAAGTGCAGCAGTGCCTTTATTATAATTGACCATCACAACTACAATCTATCATACATTATGAAAACCTTATCAATTAAGTAAATAACATCAATGTGCTCTACATTATCATTGGGTGGGACTTGCACTTTGGCAGCAAAAAGACAAAGAATGCGATACACTGCACATGCATGTCTATAAGGACATACACCTCCCCCAGGCTACCCAGTGTGAGCCGATCCGTTTCTTGCTTCTTTCATACTTTAGCCAGCAAGAAACTCTAATTGAAATCAGAATAATGTATTTAAGCAGTTGGCAGTGCATGTTTCCTTGCAAAAAAAAACAACACTGGTGTACTTACATCAGTGGACGTATCATTGGAATGATACCATATATCATCTGTCATGTTTGCTACACTTTGGAAAGCATCAACAGCATTTGATGGGTAGGCCATTAAACTCATTGCCTTCAGAAAATACGTACAGTACACATTAATTAGAGAACTATAATTACCTGTACTTAATTTATTATTATTAGTATTAAAAATTATCTAAATATATACCTGAGGCCATGAATCAATGTAAGGTATTATCATTTTTAGTCGAACTTCAACAGCGTTTTTGATAAAATCATTCTGACCACTAACACAAACAGAACAAAATTATAAACAAAAACATCTAATCATGTAATCAAGACACATTCAAGAGATATCTTATGTTACAGTCTAATGCTATGTAAAAATTATAAACAAAAACATCTAACATGTAATCAAGACACATTCAAGAGATATCTTATGTTACAGTCTAATGCTATGTAATTTTACTCCTAAAGGGGAGAGTGCTGCCACATAATATATCTTACATGGTTTTCCTGATTTCCTCTTGTGTTCTTGAGTTATCAGCCAAGTAGTCGCCGAGATCCAGGTTACACATGTTTATAAAATGCAACACCAGATCACCACCCTCCCTTGGAAACATGCCCTCAGCCATACCAGAGAATCCCTCAATCTTTGCACCTTCGACTATTGCCTGAGCGGTCCAACCATATTCAGGCACAAACTGCAGGGCAGCTGTTAGGATACGTTCACTGATGCTCTCGTCATCAAGACCTTCGTCAGAGCCTTCGTCAGATGTGTAATCATATGTTGTTTCATCTTTTTCATCACTTGTGTTTTCTGACTGGTTGCTACAAAGAAATAATAGTCAAATATATTATGGATCAAAGATCAGGGTTGTCAGCTTTAAATTCACTTTTTTATTAGTTTAGTTTCATATGTTGCAATATAAGTTTCAAAGCAGTTGATCTGAACTTAGGTTAAACTAAAAACCATATATTGAATAGTTTTTTTTCATACTAACTTATTTCCTGAGGTTGCCTTATCACCATCCTGACCACCATTCTGATTATGACATAATCGTACTTTCTGTGAACCTAAAAATATATACCATACAAATTGTTAATCAATGCACACTTTCCAAATTTAGTTGAGAAGATGCGAGACAATGGTTTGAAGGCTGACAATGAGTTTGACAATGAGTTAATCATAAAACTTAAATAGGAGCACATAATTAATTTATATCAGCCTCAAATTCAAGCTATTCTGCAATCTAAGTTAGCCTTTTCCCGCAGCAGCAATTTCCAGTCAAATGTATACAAAAAATAATTATTCAAAACATTGTTACAACCATCCAAACAAAGTGGGGGTCCATTTTTTAAAGCTCAGGAGGTGGCGCAAAGGAAAATTGATAATGTTGGGAGGATTTTTCATGTAGGCTTATAAAGCAAATGCGTTCTGCTATAACTTGATTTTGTACATGTACATATGCAATTACTTTATAGCTTACCGTTTGTACACTACATTCAGCATATTTTTATTTAATTATGCATATTTTTATATCATGTTAAAAATAAAAATTAGGTTAAAAACACACATTAAAGGCTTCCAAATACTTACCAAATACAACACAACGCATCAGATTTAAAGATTTGGCAAAAGATATTCGTACACTGCTCAGAGTCGCCATTTTGATTTGAACAATTTTCAAAATCTCGAAGTGTTTTCCTCATACTTCATGTAGTAATTACTGAAATGGCCAGTGACGCCACGTAAAAATCTCACAACTAAGTCTTGTCAGCAAGCTTGTCAACAAGCTGTAACAATGCTGTTGCTTCATCAAGTTATTACAAAGTTGTCACACACAACTTGTTGAATTGCAGGACGATAACAAGTTGTTGGAACAACATGTCACAAGTCCGTTTGAGTTCAACAACCTTGTAACAAGCTGGGAACAAGCAGTGCGAACACATCCTGCTGACAAGTTGTTGGAACAGTACTGCTACACACGTAAAATTCTCACATCGATCTTGTAATAAGTCTGTCAACAAGCCGTCAACAAGTTGTCTTCGCACTGCTTGTCACAAGTTGTCAACAACTTTGGAACAAGCTGTTAACAATTTGTAACAACCTTGTCGATATTATCAGGCTTGTTACAAGGTTGTTCCAACAAGTCCGATACAGTCATGATATAGCAGGATTGTTACAACCTTGTGTCGTCAAACTTGTAACATTCTTGTTTATGTAGGAACCAAACTATCGTTAATAGATCTTTTCAACAATGACAAGGCTATATTGAATTGTGATGCATTGTGGTCCATCGTGGTGAATTCAAACAGCTGTAATTTTCACCGCAAATTCCTCATTTTCCAAATGTCATAAGAGCTAAATTATATTCTACTGTTTAACATGATTTTACAAAACTTTAGAGCTTCTAAGAGAGGTTCAAGACTGGCTTAATACTCATTTGATTGTTTTTAATAGGGTATTTTCCGGAAGGGTTTATTATTTAGGTACCCTCATTCAGACCATCTTAAACACGTTCTCAAGATGAGGTATGTTCTGAACCTTCTGGTTGTCTATGTTGAGCCATTAATCAAGATGCGAAGATATATGTTCGACAATATGCAGCCGTAATCGTTAAGCCACAATAGTCAATAAGAAAAAGCCCAACAATACAACAGCTACATCTGCTGCAACGCAACCCGCCACACTTGTTGGGAGAGGCTTTGGAGTTGGACCGTCTTCTAAAATCAATAAATAGAATAGAATTCAGCAAAACAGATAACGCAAAAAAGTTCATGATATTGACACATACCTGTGACGTCATAAAGAGCTTCCATTCCTTGTACCATGTGATCGTTCACGTGACAATGTAATAACCATCTCCCGATACTATCTGGCACCATCTTGACTGTCATAAATACACCAGGGAATAAATCAATAACATCCTCGCGATGGTCACCTACAGTTCTCTGAAAGAACAATCACAAAAAAAACCATCAAAAGTGGAACATTCCGGTATCGCAAGTTGTTAGAAGAGTACAACAAACCAGGGTATCCGAATCACACATGAAAAAATAACATTGATTGAAACCTGACCCTACAACAACAACCCTGAAACCCAACCGCGGTTGCCATATGACAAACGTGTTTTTGAGATCAAAAATGTTTGTTGACCTAAATTATTTTTTCAGGTCACAAAACCACAAAGAAAATATTTACAGCGACTATTTCACATGGTGACAAATAAAGGGTTGAACACGATGTTCAGTGATGGTTTGGGTTGTTTTAGAGTCAGGTTTCAGTCAATGTTATTTACTTTTTTCATTTGCATATTTAGTGCATGTTCAGAAATTATAATCCTTGCTGTAAAGCCAATACAGGTATAAACCATTTGGACTAGATATTTCTTTCAGTTCCAAAAGGATGACAATTCCTTGATCCTTACCAAGAACAGTTCCGACATGATAGAGGCCATAGAGCTATCCAGTATAAATAAATTTAGTTTAGTTTTAAGTTAGTTTAACTTACAGTCTAATAATACTTACGGCTAAAACTGTTTGTCCATGAAAATGAACATTATGCATATCAATCTCAGTACCTAAAGCAATCAGATACCAGTTCACTTTCTCACCACGTTTCATCTCCAGCCCCTGGAAATTTCAATATATACATCCTTGTTTAATTAATAGAATTGCTGATATGACCATTGTCTGATTGTATTCTATCCACCTGAAGTAAAAATGGCATGCACATACCTTTAAGTTTCCGTAAATAAGACCGTTGATTACATTCATTTGGTTGCTTTCTACAAATTCAAAGTGATCGGTTTGGCCCCCGCATTTTGCCGCTGAGCAATACTTGAAGTTCTCTTCCAAATACCAACTTTGATTTTCGTCAATAACACCAAAGAATAGCGGGAACTCACGGTCAACGCCCTTCACTTTATCTCCTTCTAGGGTGCCCTGTATTGAAATGATCATGAATAGAAGCAGAAGTAATTTTCCAGAAGTAATTTTGGACCACTTAGTAATAACCCTAACCGACCCTCTACACTGGACAGAATTGGGCCGTTGATCAAAACGTCAATTTGTTTTGAATCCTTTTCAGGGAGTTCAGACACAAACCACGGTAGCTTAGTGAGCGGCGGACCATCAGAAAAGTGAGGGGGGGGGGGGGATACATTTAATATGTATTCTCGTTTCTAATTGGTCAGAAAGCACCGGCTAATTTTCAGTATTTGGCATTTATTACGTATTTTCCGCCGATAACGTCATCAGCGTCCAATAATTGTTTTTTTTGGATCAAACTTGCATCCAAAAAAAAAATTATTGGACTCTCTCGTGCCCAAACCCTTGCGCGGCCAAAAGCTTGAACCTATAGCGCGAAAAAAACAAACAAACAATGGCCTACAGCAGATTTGCTTCGCTGAATGAAAGTGAACTCTCCAAATTATTGGCAGATAAGGATAGTGAAAGCACGAAAAAAAGCCACAAAGGGGTAAATAGAAGTAGAAATAGAATATCTAGCTGACCTTTGACTTTGTGCAAGGCGTTTGATATTCAAATTGTACTTTTCCTACCTCATGAACAGGAATCGTTTTATACGTTTCTCATGTCTTTAAATGTAGCTTCGCTTCGGCAGATAACATTGACCTCGGTCTGAATAATTCTTGATATCATGCTCAGCCTCATCCAATAATTGCTTATTATTTTCTTACTCTGACAACGGCCTGTTGTTGCACATAGTGTCTAGTAAAACCCACCAATAAATGACTACTTGGTCTGTACAGCTACCCTGGTCTGGCGAAAAAAATAACTTACTCATCTTTATCCAGCTGTGTCCCCTTAATGTTATTCATACCAGATGGTCCGTAGTCCCAGACCTCTTCAACCGCGGCAATGCCTAAAATGATATGTATTATGTAATACAGTACGTTCTCGCGAAATGAAATATCATTTCTGGAAAATAATCTAGGGTATTTGTCGCACAGTGGCTTCTCATTAGTTAACAACAACAACAACAACAACAACAACAACAACAACAACAACAACAACAACAACAACAACAACAACAACAACAACAACAACAACAACAACAACAACAACAACAACAACAACAACAACAACAACAGCAGCAACCCACCTGGAATTAAGTTGACCGTATCTTTTCTGTTGCTATTCATCTCAAACGTTTGTCCATGAAAATTGACGCCGTGTATATCAACTTCGCTTCCTAAGCTAATCAAATGCCAGATTCAGCGTGTACAGAACAGTACTGTTTGGCGCCACCATATCATCTTTCTTTGCTGAGCCACTTGTTCCATCGTTGTAAGGTAAACCTTCGTTTGATTTATTGTAAAACACTCCTTGAGCGTGGATACTGAATTTGCGTGAAGCCTGGATAAGACGAAGACAAATAATATATATATATATATATATATACATATATATATATATATATATATATATATATATATATATATATATATATATATATATATATATATATATATATATATATATATATATATATATATATATATATATATATATATATATATATATATATATATATATATATATATATATATATATATTTACCGGCTGCGAGGTTCAGATGAGAAAAACTGCACCCGAGATTTCTATATTTTAATTCAAATCTACCTTGTTCTTAAATGTAACTTTTATGGTATCCCCGACTTCAGCTCGAATCACTGGTCCCAGAAAACCTAAATGTTCGTCTTTGGCTTTTCTTGTCGTGAAACTGCCATCTGTGTATTCAAAGAACAAGCTTTCCAATACTGTCCACCATCGAATCTTCGGTCTTGACAAAGAACTCGTGGCCTTTACTAAAAACGTAAAATTTCATTGGGGTTTATAATTTGCCCGACTTCATTTTGACTGGGGGAGGGGGGCTGCCGCACACCCATCCCCCCCCCCCGCGGGTACCCCATGCTCACCTATCCTCACTTGTAAGGTTTCCACCGTTGAAATTGTCCATTCCTGACGGTGCATAATCCCAAAGTGTTTCCTCAGCCGCGATAAAATACTCGCGAGTTTTGCCTTGCACGGGCTTCACTTCAGGTAAGGTTTTCCCAGGACAGGAAGTGACATTGAATAGAGCGGTCATTCCCGTCAAATAATGATGGTTGACAAGGCAACGGAGCAACCATTTCCCAGGATTCCACGCGGTCATGTGAGCAGTGGATGACCTAGCGGGAAAGACGGCGTCTTTGACCGTGCGATGACCGTCCACTTTTATTGTATGCCCGTGAAACGTAACTATAAGCAAGAGAAAAACTATATTATTATTTATTGAAGTAAGTGATGGTGGGCGGTGTCCGGATCATTCTTAAAGCTGCGTTCCAGTCACGCGTTTTTATACGCACGGAAAAGTTTAAATCTTTTTAAATTTAACACTAGTATATGAATAGACCTTATGCATAATGACGTCACAAGGCTTGATGCCCGCGAGGAATGCTGGTCTTAGTAGTCATCACCCGGGATAATTTCGATAGTGGCCATTTTGAATTTTTGAATTTTCCCGGGCGATGACTACTGAGACCAGCATTCCTCGCGGGCATCAAGCCTTGTGACGTCGTTATGCATAAGGTCTATTACCTGCACAAATGCACATTAAATCATGCACAAAACTATATGCTTTCCTTTTATTCATTCAGTTATTTCATAAGTAACATTTAAAGATATTTCAACTTTTCCGTGCGTATACGCACGTATGAAAAACGCGTGACTGGAAAGCAGCCTTTAAGGCTGATTTCCACTGTTGCGTTTTTCGTACGCACGTACACGCAAGTAAAACACTTTGAATCCTTCTATTTTTTAAATATTTTACAAATAAAATTTTTTCTGTGTTGGTATTGTGTACTCAGGTCAGGTGAATATGATGTTTGTGATGTTACTCTGAGTGTATATCCACACCGGACGAGCTTGAAAAATATGCCCGGCCACGTTGGGAATCGAACCTACGACCTTTGGAATACTAGCCCAATGCTCTGCCAACTGAGCTACGCGGTCAGGACGGTTCGAGTAAGTGATATTTCGGAACAGAATCTAGTTCCTTCGATACCAGTGTAATCTAGTAATATGATTTTTTCTGTGTTGGTGTTGTGTACTCAGGTGAATATGATGTTTGTGGTGTTACTCTGAGTGTATATCCACAACGGACGAGCTTGAAAAATATGCCCGGCCACGGTGGGAATCGAACCTACGACCTTTGGAATACAAGCCCAATGCTCTGCCAACTAAGGAAGCAAAAACTAAACTAACTTTACAAAGACATAATAGAGTCAAATAAACCAAATACATACTTGAATGTAGATCGGTTTCACTCCCCATACCAAAAAGATGCCAATCAACTCTATCACCAACACACATATCCAAGCAGGCACATTCCCAAAGATATAACCATTAATCATGTGAATATTGTTACTATCCCTGAATGCTTTGAATTCCGCCTCATCTTGGGGCATGGTAAAATTTGGACTGCAATATTCCTTGATGTTTTCGTTCAACAACCAGCTTCGTGTTTCGTCCATCACGGTAAACAACAAAACAAAGTCTTTGTCGATGTCTTTATGTTTCCCGTTCACGTATGTCCCCTTTTGCAGATAATTAGACTTTCAAGGCCCTTTTTCAGTAAATTCAAGGACCTAGAACTGGGAAAGTCTTTAGGTGGAGCCGTGGAGGTTAAGGAAATTAATTCCAGGACCTTCAAGGACTTCAAAGACTTCCAGTCCTGGAATTTCGTTTTGCCAATTCAAGGACTTTCCAGAATTTTCAAGGCCCGTGGACCTTTAGCTAGGACAGTTTAGAACTGATGAAGCCATTCAGTAAAAATAAAGTTCAGTTTACTTGCAAAGCATAATTTGTCAGCGATAGCGCATTGTAATAGACCTTAGAAGTGCTTATGTCACGCAATTTTTATACAGTGGACTTCTGGAATGCACAGTGAATTGTGGGATACTTTTGGGTCGATAATTCATTGTTTGAAAATTACGTGAAGTAAGAACTTCAAGGGTCCATTGGGAAACCAGATTTGCTTTCCAAGAATGTGATTGGGAATTTAGTAAGAAATTCCTAGTTTGTCCGAAAATTTCATTCTGTTCTCAAAACGTACCTACAAGTCCAGTATTAACATCACTTCTAGGATTGATATGAGAATGGTACGCCCACGTGAGACAGTTGAGTCATCTGATGTAGGTCCATGTTCTGGCTTCACTTCCCAAGTGTAGGTATGAGTACCATTTGGAGGGACACCGTCATCTTCCTGGGGTTAAAAAAGAAATGGTCCGATTTGTAAGATCATCCGTATAAATACACGAACTATTTAAACTGTCAGACTGATTATATGTCTGTTTGACACGGCGGAAACAGAAAGGTCTATCGTTTTAGTATATATCGGCCATACCTTATTTTCCCTGCCGTATTATCATTATACAAAGCGCCCTCGGAATCCTTCAAGTAGAAAACTCCATGAGGATGAACGGAAAAATTCCTAAAGCACGATTCGTGAAATGAATTTTGAGCACATCTCCAACTTCGGCGCGAAGTATTGGTCCCAAGATTCCTAAATATGCGGATGTTTCTTCATAGCATCACACGACGAGTCTGTGCATTCTCGATACACAACTTTGTTGTAAACTCTCCCAATGCGATCTTTGCCTCTTTTGGTGAAAATCTTGGCTTCACTTAAAAAAGACAATAGATATGATTTCTGTTATTGTTGCTAAAGCCCTGGGCAAACTAGGAAACAATGTTGTGGAAACATTTTTACAAATGTTTCGCCATGTTTCCAAGAATGGGCAAATACTAGGAAACATTTATAGTGAGAAACATCGGGAAACATCAAACCGAATTCGCTAGGAAAGATTTTTGCTTCTCGGGAAGCAAATAGTTTGTTTCCGCAACAATGCTTCCACGGGTGGGCAAACAGGGAAACATTTGAGGAAACATCGCGAATCACAAATGTTTCCACAACAATGTTTCGTAGTTTGCCCAGGGCCTATAGACTAATTTGAGCATGAAGATTTCAATTCTGGGGTCCATTTCGGCCCAATATTATGAAGATGCAAAATTCATGAGGAATCGAACGGTCCGGCGACCGGCCTAGTCAACAAGTCAACCCGTTTCGGCATTTAACCCTCGTTGCGATGCGCACGCCGAGTTCTCAGTCGTTTTACTTCTTATAATGCCAGATTTTAGATTTTCACTGACCGATAACTTTGATCCTAGTTTAAATTTACAAATATTTTATAGAAGCGCTATATAAACACTTTGAGTTATTTGGTCTACATATCTTTTAAAATTTGCTCTCATTGGCTGTTTTATTAATTTTCAAAAACTAAAAAATCGCGTCGCGTTATATCGAATCGCGTCCGGTGTGTCTGGACCTTTACCGTGGTTGGGAGTGGACTTGTATACCAGGCCCTGCTTGTACCAAGTCAAAGCTGGTCAAGGTCGGACCGGGTACGTACGATATTGATTAATCTACAATTAAATTGACATTGTCTACTAATTGTACCTGTCCTCGTCGAGCGGCTTTCCATTGAGTTGATTGTAACCGCTTGGTGCGTAATCCCATTTTATTCCGACAGCGGCTATGTGATAGTTCCTTGTCTCACATCTCGCCTGGTTCAGAAAACACAGAAACACAAGGACCATACAAAGCAAGATATTAGCTAAACCCATAACTGACTTAGTTTAGCTAAGTGACTACAATCTCGACTCGTGTTGCAACATTAATCGGATAAAGTAACATGATACTTCAGCCCTAAAGCACGTGTCGGCATCACCAGAGCAACGGAAGTAATAAACATTAAAATGGAGTGTCCCTATATGTCGTGTGTCGTGGGTTAAAAGTCGTGTGTTGTGGGTAAAGTCGTGGGTAAAGTCGTGGGTCATAAAATGTGCTAAAAACGCATTTTTTCAAGATATTATTTTTATTTTTAATATTTTTTTCGTACTTTTTCCATTTATGCATTAGATAAATACAGGAAAATTTAACGCAACAAATCTGCAGTAATAAAATAATTTCTTATCTTGCTGTTATCTATAGTATAACAAGTAAATGTTTGATTTTGTTTCCGTTTCGTATAGTCTAATAAGCCTATAGAGTATAAATGTATTGTTTGATGATAAAATGTCTTAAGTTATAGGATATAGGTTTATCAGCTAGCTTTGGAAGTGTTATAGTCCCTATCATGAACGTCACGAATAACTATGTCGATTGCATATGTCCGATACAAACATATTCAACTATAAACTTTACGCTGCAGTGCCTGTATAACCTAGTATATGTTCGTGGCCCTTAAAGTGCCTATGACACGAAATTTCACCCCAAATGTTTTTGATTGCATTGTAAAGATCACTTAAAATGACTTAGCAATTTCTTTTATAGAATTTTCGTAACTTGCTTCCTTTGCAAGATATTCAACTTTGTTTCATATGCAAATATCACCGGTGTGACATCACATCGCATAATGACATTTTGAAAACGCAATATTTTACCTTGATAAAATATTTTTACAAACAAATACAGAGGATTAATTACCAGTCATGAAATCAATACATATACAAGGGTAAGTTTTAAGTTTTTTAGATACGTATTCGTCAAGAAAACTATACTTTTCTGAAAACTCATTATGTGATGTGATGTCACACCGGTGATATTTGCATATGAAACAAAGTTGAATATCTTGAAAAGGGAGCAAGTTACCAAAATTCTATTTTAAGTGACCTTTACAATGCAACCATAAACCTTTGGGGTGAAATTTCGTGTCATAGGCACTTTAAAGGTAGACAAACATTTAATGTGTATATGTGGCGTTCGGAAATATTCCATAAATTGCTACGATTTGGGAAATTGGGATTTCGGATCGGCCCGATTGAAAACCGAAATGACTGAGTTTGTGCGATGTCGGGCTAATTGCCAACGAGCGCGCTAGCCGCTGTTATTTCGACAGAATATGATACCTCTACACTTTTCAGCCGTAATTTTCAGCGCGCATTGTAATCATATAGGCTACATATCGTTTAATTTAGCTTCAAAAATTTGATAAAAAACATGTTATTCGTGTTGGTTCCCGCGGAGCGCAATGGTGTCATAATTGCCAGAGGCAGAGCACATGCAAAGCCGCCTCGGTATAAATCATGTATATAACGGGAAATCTTGCTTATTTCAGTCTAATAAAGTCAACTGTGATATCAATGTACGCAACATGCTGCGCATTTTACATTTAACAAAATAAGTTTTTGAAGCTAAATTGAACGATATGTATATGATTACAATCCGCGCATTATGTATTACGACTGAAAAGTGTTGAGGTATCATATTCTGTCAAAATAACAGCGGCTAGCGCGCTCGGTTGGCAAATAGCCCGACATGGCGACATCACACAAATCATTTCGGTTTTCAATCGCGAAATCCCAAATCGTAGCAATTTATGGAATATTTCCGAACGCCACATACACATGAAATGTTTGTCTGCTTTTAAGGGCCACGAACATATACTAGGTCTAGGAAATAAAATAGCAAAACTTTGAGGCTCGAGCGTTGGCCACGTAGAATTTATAGCTCAATATGTTTGCATCAAGACATATGCAATCGACATAGTTATTCGCGACGTTCATGATAGGGATATAACACTTCCAAAGCTAATAAACCTATATCCGAATATCCTATAACTTAGGACATTTTATTATCAAACAATACATTTATAGATTTATTATAACGGAAACATTTACTTGTTATACTATAGATAACAGCAAGATAAGAAATTGTTTTATTACTGGAGATTTGTTGCGTTAAATTTTCCTGTATTTATCTAGCGCATAGAAGGAAAAAGGACGAAAAAAATATTAAAAATAAAAATACGAAAAAATGCGTTTTTAGCACATTTTATGACCCACGACTTTACCCACGACACACGACTTTTAACCCACGACACACGACATATAGGCAAATGAATTGAATGAATTTGTCAACCTGTACAAATAAATTGGATCGTAACGTTTGAAATATTTCCTGAACTTTAAACGTTGCCAATATTTAAAAGTTCTGACGCAAATATCATGATTGAAATGGCAATACAATGGCCAATATGCTAGAAAGCAGAATTTCGAATTCATCGGATCCCAGCTTGACAAACCATTTAGAGTATGAAATGATGGAGTTTTTTCGCTTTCTTTCGAAATACAAACAGTCAAGCGGTCTCGCGCAA